CCCCCCCAGACCCTGCCCCGCTAGTTGGCACTGGCGGCAGAGGACAGAGGAGAGGGGTGAGAACAGCCTCAGGGGCAACATGAAAGCTCCAGTCTAAACAAAATCCCAGGTCTTGGCTCAGACATTATGAGCAGCCTCCTCTCCTGCCTTTGGTCCTAGCCCTGAACTCTCTCCTGCCAGCCACCTGCCCCACTAGTCACTGCCCCACTCTAAAGTGATCCTGTGATTTAATATGTTGGTTCTCGCTTCTCCTTTCCAGTTATCGATCAGGGATCACTTTTCAGTCTAGAAAAATAATTAGAAACTTTTCTTTTGTTGCAACATTTAATTTTTTTTTTTTTGGAGAGATTTTCGCTATAGGGCGCATGCGCTCACCAGACAGAGAGAGACAGAGAGACAGAAAGCAAGAAATCACTCCCCGGGGGGGGGGATGGTCACACCGCAATCCCTTCTCCTCCATTCTCCTCTCGGGATCTGGGGCACACACGCACACGCGCCCGGCGTGAGTTTTAAGCCACCGGGTCTGGGATGTGAACCATGGTCGACTACGTGGGAGTCCAGCGACATAGCCATTATGCTAACTGCTGGTTCCCGCAACATTTAATTTTTTAGATGGATTTTCCCCTGCAAAACAGACTAAGTGATGAGTGTTTATTTATTTTTATTAATTTTAAGCAGTTTGAAAACTACTAGGCCAGCTTCATAGCTTGATGGCTAAAGGAGCCAGATCGTGTGTGGCTGACCACAGTTCATGGGGCTGGCCTGTGGCTTACGAAGTAATCCAGGCATGTGTGTGCACATGTGTGTGCCCTAAAGCTTGATAAGATGAAAAATAGGAGAGAAGGAATTGCAGAGTGGCTATGCCTTATGGAGGGGGTTTTTCCCTCTTTCTCTCTCTCTGACAAGCACATCTACCCTCTGACAATTCAAAAAGAAAAGAAGAGAAAACTACTGATTTAGATAAAGTTATCTCTCATTCACAACAGAATATACTAGAAAAGTAATTTCAAGAAGATATAATGCTAGTTCTATTCCTTTTCCCTTTTCTTTCTTTTCTTCTCTCTATTTTTTTCTTTTTTTGGGGGGTGTTTGTCATAGGGCATTTGTACTTGTGTGTGAGTGAGAGAGAGAGAGAGAGAGAAAGAAAGTGAGAAATGAGAAATCACTCCTCGGGAGGAATGACCATTCCACAATCCCTTCTCCTCAGAATTTGGATACACACAACACAGCTGTGCCCAGTGTGATTTTCAAGCTGCCAGGTCCGGGACTCGAACTGCAATTGGCCATGTGGGAGTACAACACCTTAATCATCATGCCATCTGCTGGCCCTTTTTTTCCCCCTCTTTTTTAGATTTTTTGCCATACAGGATGTGGACTCATGAGGGGTGGGTGAGAAATTGTTCCCCTGGGGGGATGGTAATGCCACAGTCCCTTCTCCTCCATTCTCCTCTTGGGATTTTGGGCATGCATGCACACACACTTGTTTTTTTCAGGCCACTGGGTCAGGACTTGAACCATGGAGTTGGCCATTAGAGATCCAGCGCCCTAACTACTATGCCACCTCTGGCCCATCCCTTTCTATTTTCAATGTGTGATATATTTTACTACATGTAAAATTCTAAACACACTCATGAGAGGAGGGACCAGTTCAGTCTGTGGGTACTGGAAAATCTCAAGAGTGGGTGCCATTCGGACTAGACCTTAATGGCTGAGAAGTTTGTGTTAACGCTTTGCTTTCTATATCTTCCACCTGTCTTTTATCTTAGTGACTTTTGTTGGTGGGATAAAATGACAGAAGTGTAAAAATGCCCAGTGGTCTTTTGCAAGTACCCAGCTGGTGTGATGAGACTTGGGAGTGTGATCCTAAAGCCCTAGGCCAGTGGCTATGGTGATGGGGGAAACTCAGCCATGAAAAACTCATTTTTATAATGTGTCAGAGCCAAAAGGAAGTTACCTCTTGAGTCTGGTATCATGGAGCTCCCTCTGCTGTCTCACCTCACGCTCCCCAGGGGTTGTTTTTACCAAGCTTTCCTTATCTCGGGCCCCAGCTCTCTCATGCCTGTTCTCCTGTGCCCTGTTAGTGGTCGGGAAATCTGTAAGGAGTTGGAAGAGAATTGTAGACTGCCCTGCCCTGCCTACTCTCCCACATCCTCTCTGACTCCAGTTCTCTTCTGGCAGGTTTGTGCTAGACATTTGCTCTGGGCAGTGTGCTCTGGTACCTTCCTTCAGTCCCTTCACAAGGTGCCCTGCCTCATTTCATTCCTCTTACAAATCCCTCTCCACCATTTGCCCCCATCCTACCTCCTGCTCCCACCATCACAAGCACCATTCTGGGTCTCGTCAACTCTGGTCTCCTTGACAAGTGCCACCATTGTCCACTATGCCACACTATCTCCCCTCGCTCCTGCTGGTCATTATTCAGTGTCACGTAACACACGGCCAGCCTCCTCTTTTCTCAGCCAATCCCGAGGACCTGAAGGCACAGTCTCCACAGCTAAGCTGTCCAGGTAGTTCTCAGCCTCCCTCTGTGACTAACACTTAAAGTTCTCTCTCCATCTCAGCAAATGAACCTGCTATAATAGAAGAGGGGCTTTGAGGGTTTGAGATTCTGTACTCGGGAGATTCACATATTCTTACCCCTGGAAAAGTAGGAGTGATATACTAGATCCTAGGAACGGTTGGAACGGGTCTGAAAAAGAAGTATTTCTGAAAGGAAATGTAGCAGTCAGTAGGAAAACAAGATACCTACTTTATGTGCTGTTGGGTGTAAATTTAGACGAGAAAGTTAGGGAGCATTCTGACAGAAAAACACTGGGGCAGAGGCTGCAATACTATTCTGGTCACAGGGAGGCAGCATGAGGAAGGTCTTCCCCTCAGTCACGCCTTCCCTGGCTGTCTGATAACCTAGTTTCAACCTTTTTGCGTGCCTACACATGCTCGTATAATTCTTCCTACAGATCTCAGCTCATCTAATTCTCTAATCAACTTCTGGGAAGGATGGTGAATTGCTTTCAACAAGAATTCAGCCAGAGGCTGGAACCATAGCCTGTCTCATTCCCTTCGTCTCCTACTCCACCCTAGAGAGTGGAAGGCACTCTCTCTAACCTCTGGGTCTCAGAGTGATCCCTGGAGCCTGGACCCCTCTGGCCAAGGGCCCTCTGTCTGAGTTTCCTCAAGGCTGTGATGCAGAGGTGAGGATACCCAAGAGGTCAACCTCACTGACTTTTCCCTGGGAAACCCTGCTCCTCCCGTTAACCCAGATTGTTTGGCTTCATCCTCCACAACAGACAAGCATACTGACCCTAGCACCTCACCCTGCTCCTGTGCCTGTGCTCCTGAGAAATAACAGGCCTGCCGAATAGCAGTAAGGTGAGGCTGGTTTTCTAGCTGGGAAGGAAGAACACAGCTATGGCAGGAAGCTCCACAGCCCATCTCAGTGTCTGAGCTTGACCCCTGGGACCAAGGGTAAGGCCCCTGGGAGCCACTTCCTGAGCCAGGCCCCCAGGACCTGCTTCTCTCTTACCTGGAGTGGCCTTGACCTGGACCATGAGATTGAGCAGCACCAACAGTGACATCAGAGCTGTTGTCCATGGGGCCTCAGGGGCCTGCAGGACCATCATGAAACTGGAAAAGGAAGACAAGATGGAGAAAGCACCAAATACGGAAACAGAGATGCCCTAAATAGCATTTCAGTCTGAGATATTGGAGACCATGAACAAGAATTGTCCCCTACATCCTCTGGGATTGGACAGATTCTGAGAAAAGAACCAGTGAGCACTGAGCTTTGTATGAGTCATCACTCACCAGGCAGAGGGTGACAGTCTGATCATTTAAAGTACATGCTGCCTTGAGGCAAGCCAGTGCTCGGTACCTGGGAGCCACCTTGGAACTTTTGGATCCCATTGCTCACCTTCCAAACAATCTGTGCTTGTGTCCTACCTGCCCACCGGGAGTCTTGAGCCCACTCTGGGCAAGCCTTTATGGGAAGTCCATGCTTGGAGCCTGGGAGATACTTCAGAACTTTTGGTATACCAACCTGCACAGTGTGTGACTGGATCATCTTCACCAAGTTATATCTCCTTAGCTTGCTACCACCTCATCGAGAACTGAAGATTTGTTTGAAATTGCTTTTCACTTAACACTTTGAATATATTTTCCCGTTCTTTCCTCACTTGCATTGTTTCTGATGAGAGGTCCGATGTTAGCCTGATGGGATATCCTTTGAAAGGAACTTGACGTTTTTCTGTTGCCAATTTTAGTATCTTACCTCTGTCTGTGGTTTTGGTCAATCTGACTATGATGTGCCTCAGAGAAGATCTTCTTGGATTGATTCTATGTGTGGTCCTTTGTATTTCTTGGGTCTGGATGTTTGAGTGCCTCTCTAGGTTTGAAAAGTTTTCTTCCAGGGTTTCATGGAGTAAATTTTCAAAGCCCTTATTAATCTCTTCACTTTCTGGGATTCCGATTATCCAGATGTTTGGATGTTTAATGGTATCTAGTATTTATTGTATATTATTCTCATTTTTTGGGGTTATTGTCTCAGTCTTTGTGGTGAATTTTTCTAGGCCAGAGATTGTGTCCTCTACTTCTGAGAGTGAATTTTCTGCATGATCTAATCTGCTTTTAGTACTTTCAAGGGAGGTTTTGATTTCCTTTATTATAGCCTTCATCTCTAACAGTTTCATATGATTCTTTTTTATGGGGTGTTTTTCCTTTTTCATATCATGGAAGAACTTCCTCACCTCCTGGAACTTGTTGTCTCTCTTCTCCTCCACTTTCTGGAGTTCATTACCTCTCTTCTCTTGCATCTCTGTTAGGTTTGTGACTGTGAATATTCTAAATTCTTTATCAGACATTTCCACGAGTTCCATTGTCCCATCTGTGGATGATGAAGAGTTGTTATTTTCCCTTAGGGGAGAGATATTTTCTACGTTTCTCATATTTCTTGTGCCTCTGTGGTAGTTTCTGGTCATCTGATAGATTATATATTTCTTCCTTACTTCTTGAAGTTGAATCTGAGCATTCAGAGGGGTGCAGGAGGAGATATCTGTAACATCTCTGCAGTTCTATTTTTCTCCCTTTGTGTAGCAGAGTCAGTGGGAATTGAGGACTATTCTGACCCTAATAGTATTCAGATTTTTGGCTACTTTGCACCTAGACTTGTCTAGACACTGATCGTGTGGAGGCTGAGAAGCAAAATGATGAAGATAAAAGAAAAAGGAAAAGAAAACAAAGAAAAGAAACAAAGAAAAAACAATTATTAAAAAAAAAATAAATACAAAAATGAAAACTGTGCAACACACAAGCACTATGTGAGAGGAATTACACCCCAAATACAGATGGCTTCTGAAAGGCCTGCACTTTTGCCTCTTCTAAATGCGAGGGGGAAAGGTGAGAATTTTCAAGATAAAAGAGGATCTGAGAGTATAAAAATACCTTAAAAATGAAAAAAAAATAATAAAGAGAGAGCGAGACAGAGAGAATACAGAAGGTGCCTTACCATTCTAGATTGCGGGTCAGTTGGTGAAGTCTCAGGAGAAAATGTTCAGTAGACTTAGCCCCTGAAAGGGATTACTCACACCTCAAATGCAGGTGGTTTCCAAAGGGGCCTGCATGTTTTCCTCTCCTAAATGGGAGGGGGAAAAGATGAGAATTAGCAAGATAAAGGATGATCTGAGAGCCAAAAAAATACATAGCTTAAAAAAAAAATTGACAGTGCTGCCAATGCCCCGGTGGAAAAGCTGTATTTCCTGTCCTTATTTAAAAATGTGAAAGAAAAGTAGGTGCCCGAGGTAACTCATCACAGTCCAAAGACTCCTTTCTTGCTTGTTGGGACCCAGATTGATCTCAGAGATGACTCTTCTACTATTGAGAAACTTGCCAAGAACAAACAGAAGCCTATCACTCCAGGGACTGCTGAAAAGCTGGCCTGTGACCTGAAGGCTGTCAAGTATGTGGAGTGTTCTGCACTCACATGAAAGGCCTAAAGAATGTATTTGATGAAGCAACGCTGGCTGCCCCGAAGCCTCCAGAACCCAAGAAGAGCCGCAGGTGTGTGTTGCTATGAGCATCTCTCCAGAGCTGTTCGGCACAGCCGGTGTTGGCATCATACTAAAAGCAACGTTTAAATCAAACTAAAGATTAAAAATTAAAGTTCACTTTAAAAAGAGAGAGAGTGCGAGAGAGAGGAAGAGACAGAGAGAGACAGAGAGAATACAGAGGGTGCCCTACCACTCTAGATTGGGATCTGGAGGGTGAAGTCTCAGCAGAAAATCTTCAGTTGTCCTATCCCCTGAAAGGGATTGCTCACAGCTCAAATGCAGGTGGCTTCTCCTCAATATATACAGATTTTTCTGCACTCTGTGTCAGAAACTGAAAGTTTGGAGGGTATAGTATCTGCACTCTATGTCAGAAAGTGAAAGTTTGGAGAGTATAGTACAGAATGGGCAATGGTAGATTCTAAAGATGGTAGGGATAGGGGTAATATGGGGATGGGTAATGGAGGGAGAGAAGGAGGGAAAGTAAAAGAAAGTAAAAGTGGGTTAAATTGACAAAAAAAGTTATTTGCTAACGATGATGTGTATAGTAATGTTTTTCTTGACTGATAGTCATGGTAATCATGTTGGAAAAAACGTTATACACTGTAAAGATATATATGATTAAATGTAATATAAAAATAATAATAATATAAGAAAGACAATAATAAAAAAAACAGAAAAAAAGATTAAAAATAGAAAGTATAGTAGTAATCACCCTCCTTTCCTCCTAGTCCTGTCAGTAGTCCTAGGTCCTAGGCAATCAGTAGTCTACTCTTTGTCGTTATTGAAATGACAGCAGGTGTCCACACAAAAATGTCCACAAGGATGCTCATAGTAGTATTCTTAACGGTCATAGGCTACCTAGTCCCCTTGGATTTCATATCTGCACCTGCTTCCTTAGCAACACTCTTTATTCTTTTCCCTTCAATGCAACATTTCTTTCCAAGCAAATTGGTTCACAAACATCCTCCTTCTTTCCATTCCCTGAACTGTTTTTATAGCCTTGATCCAGCTGAGACTTCCATGTTTTGGAACTGGTTCTGAGTAGACAATGAATAATTAGTATAGGTTAGCATTTTGAGACAGATCCTAAAAATAAGGTAGCTGATATCTTGCCCTTGCCAATTAAAAGTGAAATTACTTAAACTCTCTTAACTTCTATTTCCTCTTCTGTAAAATTGAGATGATACCATTATGTTCTCATGAAGTTGTTGAGAGGCAAACATAAACTTGTGTGAAATGCTTGTAGTAATGCCAAATATGCAAAAAAATTAAATAAGTTAATTTTTGATTTTGAATTTTATTGCAAAAAGCTCATTAAATTTACCTTGTATAAATATAAAAACAAATACAGTATATGGTACACCCTTCAGACAGTAGATGGAGGATAATGATACTCATTTTAAACAAATGGGTAAGTTATGAGGTTTTGGGAGATTATTTGTTTTCTCTGAACCAGAACTCAAATATTCTACTGGCCCACCTATAGGGATTACAATTACCCCAACCTTGCCACCTCTCACTCTACACGTCACGATCTGAAGTGGAACAAGTGCTGCTTAGTGTGTAAAATTTCATTCAGGGGCATGATTTTTAGAGAGACTAGAGCATCCATCCTAGAACTTAAAAGTGAGTCGTGAGGCCTGTCTTGCCTCTGCTTCTGGAGGTGTTTAGAGTTAGCACTCGTCCGCATGTTCTTTCTCTCAGAGTCTGTTAGTGCTAAGAGGCTCAGGGGACCCAGTCCCTTTCGTAGAATGCTCATTCAGGTTGCAATGACTCCGTCTAATAACCGCACGTCTGGAAGTGTAGACATATCAGCTATACTTCCACTGCCTGTTTTGGGTTTCAATTCTTTGTCTTCAGTGTGGGGATCATATAACCTAACTTTACAGCAACGCTCTAGGATCGAATAAGATAAATCTAAAATAGCTCCGAAAAGAAATTTATGACCATGGTGAATTTAAATAGACCAGTCGATGAGGAAGAAAATGAAAAAAAAATCATCAAATACTCTACCTTTCCAAAAGTATCTGATTCTATTGTGTTTATGGTGAATATTTTAGACTTTCAAAGAATATTACACCCCATTTTCCAAACTTATAAATGTGATCCTGTTGGACTATAAATTCTAATAAAGAAACAGTCAAACTGGCATTATTTCTTTATGTAGATATTAAAATGAAAATAAAATGCTAGCATAGAGTTAGTGACAGTGCAGCAGTTAAGTACCACACACAGAAAACCAGGTCCAGGGTCAGCCTATGGGATGGTGGTTAGTGTAGCTGGATCCCACATGGCTGACTGCACGGTTTGAGTCCCAGACATGGTGGTTTCAGAAACAGACCAAGCAGGTGTGGGGAAAAATTACTGCAGTGTTACCACACCCCATCGAGGGTTACTCTCTCTCTCTTTGGCAAGTGCACATGGACTCTGGCAAAAAACAAACAAACAAACATAAAATTTAAGAGAAAAAATGATATAATATAAAGTATCAGTTAGGAATGAACAGACAGTATAGAATTGAGTGAGAAAAGCTCCATTTCTTCAGTAAAACTGCCTTGCTTTGACTCCTTCCCTAGTCACTTGCTTATTATAGACAATTAGACAAATACTTCTCATGTCTCAGGTAGTTTATTTTTAGAATAGACATTAATACTACCTACCTCAGGTTTGATGTGAGAATTAAATAATATTTGTGAAGTACTAAAAATAGCATCTGTCATGTAGTAATCGTTAATATTTAATTATTATTTATGCAAGACCAGACTACCACAGAATAAGAAAGAATATTGACATACTATACTTGGTTATAACATTATATACTACATGTTTTGTGATCTGATATATGAATATCAAAAAAATACTTTAAAATAAAAAATAGAAACATAATTTACTAGGTATAATAAAGATACACAAAAATAAAATAAACATTACTTGCAAGAGAGAAGCATTAGAGAAATTCCTTTTAAAGAATACAGATGCCCTGGGTCTGGCTCAGAGGTGCAATACTAATGTGCAGTTGAGGTGCTCCTGAATCCATGTGGAAGATCCTGTGTTCAGTTCCCCGGATGACCTGTAACACGGGACTCTTTGCCAGAAAAAGACCATGTTGAGGGGACTTGCCTTTCTCCTGCTCTGTCGCTGTCTCTTGCACTCATGAAAAGAATAATACAAACTTAAAAAAATGGTGCCCATTGTTGTCATACATAATGTTGTATTATTTAAAAATAAAATAAAATGAATAGTAATTTAAAGAGAGAAAGTATTATCTTCAGACAACTTAGGTACTAGGAAAACTCAAAAAGAAATTTGAAAAACATGTAGAACCTCACAGAGATGTATGACGGTTATGTATAAATCAGAAATTGCAGTGAAAAAATATGGATAATATATAAGAAGTAGTTCTAATTTATTATATATAAGAAGATTACACATATATGTATATAATATAATAAAAATATATAATTCATTTTCTCTAACTCTGGAAATGAACTAGGAATTGAAATTCCCTCGGCCGTGCTGGTCCCTGAAGATTCTCTCATCTCTTCCCCAGCCTCTTCCTGTATTCTCTTTACCCAGCAACAGAGAATCAGCTCTATTATTTGCTTGATTGGTTAAGCCTAGCCTTGCTGCTTCCTCTTCCCCCCTTTCTGCCCATTTTCAGGTGATAGAAGCCCACATTTCTAGAGCTCTTGTCCGCTCCCACCCTTCCTCAGTTCCTTGTCACTGTTTTTGTGGTCATAGTCGATTATAGACCCCAGAACGTGTGCCCTGAAGAGAATGTTCCAGATCAAAGCTGTCATGCTGAGTGTCTTCTCCTTGGCTTACTTGCTGAGTCTTCAGGGAGCTGGGGCCATCCAGGGTGAGTGCCCAGGAGGAGCCAGAGAGATGGGGGTGAGAAGTGGGGGACAGGCTTCCAGGAATTGTGGTGCCGTTGGGATTAGTGATTTGGGGATTTGTCGGTCTATTTACTCTGTGTCTTCTTTCTCTCTGCACTCCCGTGTGTGAGAGTCCCATTTGTTTCCTCTTCTTCTGATAATAACAACAGCAAGAGCAGCCACTTACTAGACATCTATTTACACCTCACACGAAAGTTCAGTGTTGATATTATGACCTCCATGTCAGAGCTGAAAAAAAAAAAACAAGGTTCAAAAAGATTAACATATTTTCCAAGGTTGCACACCAATCCACAGAGCAAACATTTAAGTGCAGACCTAATTTTTTCTTTTCTTGAGAGGTTTTTGCTGTAGGGCACATGCACTCACCAGACAGACAGAGAGAGACAGAGAGACAGAAAGTGAGAAATCAC